ATTTTCTTTATCCATTCACCTGTTTAAGGGCACCTAGGTTGGTTCCATAGCTTAGCAAATATGAATTGAGTTGTTATCAACATTAATGTAGCTGTGCCACTGTAGTATGCTGATTTTAAATCCTTTAGATATATACTAAGAATTAGAATACCTGGATCAAATGGTGTTTCCACTTCTAGTTTTTTGAGGAATTGCCATACTGCTTTCCAGAGTAGTTGCACCAATTTGCAGTCTCACCAAAATTTTTTTTAGTGCACATTTTCCCCAACATCCTTGTCAACATTTATTGTTATTTGTTTTCTTAATAATGGCCATTCTGAATGGAGTGTGATGAAATATCAGTGTAGTTTTAATTTGCATTTCTCTAATTGCTATGTGTGTTGAATACCATTTGTATTTCTTCTTCTGTGAAGTGTCTGTTCCATTCCTTAGCCCATTTATTGATTTTTTTTTCTTTTTTGGTTTTTTTGAGCTCTTTATATATCCTGGAAATTAATGTCCTATTTGAGGTGCAGATGACAAAGATTTTCTCCCATTCTGTAGGCCCTCTTTTCACATTCTTGGTTTCTTTACTGTGAAGAAGCTTTTCGGTTTAATGAATTCCAGTTTATTGATTATTAACTTTATTCCTTGTGATTCAGGAGTCATTGAGAAAGTCATTTCCTAAGCCAACATAGTGAAGAGTTGGCCCTATTTTTTTTTTGCAGCATTTGCAGGGTTTCTGGTGTAATTTCTAGGTCTTTGATCCACTTTGAGTTGAGTTTCATGCAAGGTGAGAGATAGGGGTTAAAATTTCATTCTGCCTCATATGGATTTCCAGTTTTTGCAGCACCATTTGTTGAGGAGGCTATTGTTTCTCCAATATATGTTTTTGGTACCTTTGTCTAGTATGAAGTAATTGTGTTTTTGTGGGTCTGTCTCTGTGCCTTCCATTCTGTTCCATTGATCTTCCTGTCTGTTTTGGTGTCGGTATCAGGCTGTTTTATTATTATAGTTCTGTAGTATAATTTGAGGTCTGGTATTGTGATGCCTTCTGCTTCACTTTTCTCCCTCAGGATTGCTTTGACCATTATTGGCCTCTTATTTTTTCAGATGAATTTCATGGCCACTTTTTCTATATCTATAAAGAATGTCATTGGAATTTTCATGGGGATTGCATTGAATCTGTATAGTGCTTTCACTATATGGTCGTTTTGACAGTATTGATTCTGCCTATCCAAGAACATGGGAGGTCTTTCCATCTTCTAAGGTCTTCCTAAATTTCTTTGTTTAGTGTTCTGTTGTTTTCATTGCAGAGGTCCTTTACTCCTTTTGATAGATTCCCCAATATTTTATTTTTTGAGGCTATTGTGAATGGGATAGTTTTCCTAATTTCTCTTTCAGTGGATTCATCACTGATGTATAGTAATGCATTTGATATCTGGGAGTTGATTTTATATCCTGTTACTTTGCTAAATTCATTTATTAGTTCCAGAAGTTTTGAGTGTAATATTTTTGTATTTTATAAATATAGGATCATGTTGTTGGCAAATAATGATAGTTGGAGTTCTTCTTTTCCTATTGACACTCCTTTAATTTCTTTTATCTGTCTAATTGCTCTGGCTAGAGTTTCAAGACTAAGTTGAATAGAAGTAGTGAAAGAGAGCATCCATGTCTTGTTCCTATTTTTAGTGAGAATGCTTTCATTTTGTCTCTGGTTAGAATGACGTTGGACTTGGGTTATTTCTTCTATCCCTATTTTTTTCTAGTGTTTTAAACATGAATGGATGCTGTATTTTGTCATACGCTCTTTCTGCACCTATTGAGATAACACATGATTCTTTTCTTGAAGCCTATTCATGTGATGAATTCCATTAATTGATTGCTGTATGAACCAACCCTGCATCCCTGGGATGAAACCAGTTGATTATGGTGCACTATCTTTTAAATGTGTTTTTATATGGGATTTGCCAGGATTTTATTAGGAATTTTTGCATCTATGTTCATTAAGGATATTGGACTGAAGTTTTCTTTCCTTGATGTGTCTTTGTCTAGAGTTTAATATGCTTTTTAAAATTTTTTACCTATTCTTTCCTTTTTTATGTATTTTAATTAAAATGCCTTACACTATTTTTTCAATTTTTATTATAAATGTTAACTCCTATTAATTGTACAAATCAATGGATTTCACTGCAACATTTCCATAGATACACATATGGCATTTTAATCATATCCCGCTTCCCCACTACTCCTTCTTCCCTCCCCATCCTCTCCAGTCCTTGATAGCTCCTCTTCTACTTTCAGGTCATATTTTCTTTCTTTCTTTTCTTCTTCTTCTTTTAATTTGCCACATATAGTGAAAACATGCTACTTGTCTTTCTGTGTCTGGTTTATTTCATTTAGCATGATGACCTCCAGTTCCATCCATTTTCCTGCAAATGAAATGATTTCATTCTTTAGGACAGAACAACATTCTATCATAAATGTTTATTATATTTTTAAAAAATTCATTCACCTTTAATGAGCACCTAGGCTGAGTATGAAATGTTAATATTGTAAACAGTGCCACAATAAAGATAGGTATGCAGGTATCTCTTTAGTGTGCTGATTTCATTTTGGGGGGTGTATACCCTGGAGTGGTATAGCTGAATTGTATGGTAGTTCTAGTTTTAGTTTTTGTGAGAAACCTCTGTACCTTTTTTTCCCATAGTGGTTATATACTTTATCTAAGGATTCCTTTTTCTCCATATTATTTCCAGCATTTTTTTTTCTTTGGATAATAGCCTTGCTGACTGGGGTGAGGTGGACCCTCAGTATAGTTTTGATTTGCATTTCCCTGATGGCTAAAGATGTTAAGCATTTTCCCCCATATTATTATTGTCTATTTGTACTTCTTTTGAGAAGTGTCTGTTCAGACTGCTTTTAAACTGGATTAGAGTTCTTTTGATGTTTTTTGTCCTTTGTGTATTCTGGATATTAACTCTCCGTCAGATAAATAACAAACGAAGGTTCTCTCCTACTCTGTAGTCTGTCTCTTCACTCTGTTGATTGTTTCCTTTGCTGTGCGGAACCTTTTTAATTTGATGTAATTGCATTTGTCAATTCTTGCCTTTATTTCCTGAACTATTTCTTGAGTTCAAGTCAGGAAATTGTTGCCTGTGCTTGTATCTTAAGGTGTTTTTCCTATGCTTTCCTCTAGTGGCCTTGCAGTTTCAGATCTTATGTTAGGTTTTTGATCCATTTTCATTAATTTTTGTACAGGCTGAGAAATGGGGATCTAGTTTCAACCTACTAAGGATGGATATTCACTTTCCCCAACATCACTTGTTGAAGAGGCTATCTTTTTTTCAACACAAGGTTTGGACATCTTTGTCTAGAATCATATTGCTGTATATGTGAGAGTTTATTTCTGGGTTGTCCATTTTATTCCATTGGCTGTGCCTATTTTTATGCCAATTCCATGCTGTTTTTGTTACTATGGCTCTGCAGTATATTTTGAAATCCAGGAATTGTGATGCTTTCAGCCTTATTCTTTTTTTTGCTAAGGATTGCTTTGGCTATTTGAGATCTGTTGTGGTTCCAAATAAACTTTAGAATTTTTTTTTTTTTAGTTTTGTGAATAATGACATTGATATTTTAATGAGTGTTTCATTGAATCTGTAGATTACTTTGGTAGTATGGCCACTGTAGCAATGTTATTTCTCCTAATCCATAATCATGGGAGGTCTTTCCATCTTCTAATGCCTACTTTGATTTCTTTCTTCAGTGTTTTACCATTTTCACTGTAGAAATTTTTCACTTCCTTGGATAGGTTTACTTCTAGGTACTTTATGTTTTTGAGGCATTCCGAATGATATTGACTTCCTGATTTCTTTCTCAGAGGTTTCATTGTGAAACAGCATTTTTTTTTTTGTTTTTTAATCTTTCACTTCTATTTATTTTCTGATTTTCCCCAATTTCCTTAAGCTGTTTAGCTTCTTTTTTAAATTTATTTTTTAAAATTTTAATTTGTTATATATACAATTCTTAACTAACTATATAGTTCTATAGTCTACTATTCCTAGCTAATATTATATGATAATTTTTTTTTGTTTGGGCTGAATTTTGTTGCAAGCAGACCAGCTCAAAACAATGACCATGTATTCTATTCAAGACAAGATCAAGCTGGGCATGGCAGTGCATGACTATAATTCCAGCAATTGGAAGGCTAAGGCAAGAGGATTGCAAATTTAGAGCCATCCTCAGCAACAATGAGACCCTAAGTAACTTAATGAGATCCCATCTATAAATAAATAAATAAATAAATAAATAAATAGGCTGGGGATGTGGCTCAGTGGTTAATTTCCCCTGGGTTCAATCCTGTATACAAAAGATTGCATCAGGTAGGTGGTGGCTCTTCTACCAAGCATTTCTATGCAACAGGTACTTTTCAAGACTTTTCTTGATTGAGCACTCTAATGATGGACTCTGTAGAACTTTATTCTTCTTAAAAATTTTTCTTTCTTTGTTTCTAAGATTTCAGCTTACTTTGTTCTCCTACTCCTCCAGAACAATCCTCAAATTCCTGTCATGAGTCCTTCCTTTGCTTTCCCGCAGAACTCTATTTTTTGGCACTTTCCACTCTCCATATTTTCCTTGTATAGCTCTATCTGAAACAATGACACTAATATCTATGCAACCAGTTTTTGTTTTTCCTTTTTAACTCCAACCTGAAAATCCCCTAACTTACTAATATCTCCACTTCAATGAACCAGAGACATTCAAGTTGGAATGTCTACATTAATCCATGTTGTACTGTCCCAGATTTGTTCTTCCACCCATTTCCTTTTATCTAAATTCATGGCACCAAGACCACTGATCCCAGAAATCTAGGAAACACACTAGGTGTCTTCTTCAGAGTCTGACTTCATTCATCAAGACCACCGACACTACATTAACTGATCCTTTTACCATGTATGACCTTGCCTTAATTCATCCCTATTCTGAATCTGTCTTTAACACTGACATTACAAAGTGGGAGCCCATGCTTTTGGGGCGATGCAGAGCGGCTGATGGCGGCCTCTGCAATGGTGTCTGGGTGTCGGGCAGAGGTGGCCGCAGCGCAAGAATTTAACGCTCTCAGAAGTATACTGTGGAACCAAAGAAGGCAAAACCACCAAGGGTCATCTGAAATTGTGCTTGGCTCACTGATAATCCCCGGACAAAATTAGAGATCACTACTCAAGCATAAGCTGACCCCCCCAGTGTTCCTAAGACTGCTACAAAGATGTTTGATATAAAGGCTTGGGCTGAGTATATTGTGGAATGGGCTGCAAAAGACCCATATGGGTTCCTTACAACAGTTATTTTGGCCCTTACTCCACTGTTCCTAGCAAGTGCTGTACTGTCCTGGAAATTGGCCAAGATGATTGAAGCCAGGGAGAAGGAACAAAAGAAGAAACAAAAACGTCAAGAGAATATTGCAAAAGCTAAATGACTCAAAAAGGACTGAAGGAATGTATAGGCTCTGTAACCAGAGAAAAATCATTTGGAAAATTATGCAGCTTTGGAAGGACTCACTAAGGTTTCTTTGGATTTCATGATAGTATTATTTAGTATGAAATCTGATCATGTAGAAGAATCATGTTTTGACCTCCATACTGTAGTTTTAGGCTTGGGTACCGAAGTTTGTAGGTATCTACTGGCAGTTATAAATAAGCATACATACAGGTTGAGCATCCCTAATCAGAAATTCTCAAACTTGGAATGCTCCAAAATCCAAATTTTTTTGTGCACAAACATGATGCCACAAGTGGAAAATTGCAGTCAAAACACAAGTATGCTAAAAATATATAAAAATACCACATAAAATTACTTTCAGGCTATACGAAACAAATGAATTTTGTGTTTAGACTAAGGTTCTGTCCTCAACACATCTCATTATGTATATGCAAATATTTCAAAATCTGAAAAAAATCAAACACTTCTGGTCCCAGACATTTCAGATAAGGGATACCCAACTTGCAATACAAATTCTTCATAGGTGATTAAGTTATTTGCCATTTTGCAGCTTTTGTACTGAAATGATTATGGAGAAATGAGTTTAGATTGTGAACTTTATTCAAATAGTGGCTTAAAATGGGATCCTGTTCTGAACAAAATATGTTAAGAATATAAGACAATTATCCTTTCTGAGGTGAAAAGTTTGTTCTTAAAGGAGATACAGTATATTAATCACATCTTTTATCATTATTGCTTATTCCTTGGAATGTACTCATTTTTGGATTTCTCAAAGTAAAATAGTATTAATGAGTATACAAATCTGTTTTCTTCATTTTTTTCCCTGATTTTAGCCTTTAAGACAACTGGCAATTATCAAGACATTCTCATTTTTAAAACCTAATTTTATAAAGAATTTTCTTGATTATGTAGAATACTGTCTTCTGGTTATAACAGTCTTTGTACTTATGAACATTGCCATTTTCTTAAGAGATGGGTTGTTGAGAAGAATGACACTATGATTTAAAGCTTGTAGTAAAAAGGCCAAATACTGTAGTATCTTGGAACCATTTTATTTTTGTGTTATATAAAACAGTGAAACAGTTAAAAAGTTTTATCAGGTAATTTGTTGGTTATATAGATGGCACTTTTGGTTTTATTCCATTCTTTAACTCATAGGTAGTGATGTCCTGTACTTTTTGATTCAAAACGTTTGAGGTAAAAATTGAAATTTCATATTTTTTAATAGAGTTAACAGCTAAGCCATAACTTCTTCAATGGTAAGAAAGGCTTAAAATTTGGGAAGATTTTGTCGGGTATAGTAATAATTGTACAAATAGAATAAAATTGTATTCAAAATGAGAATAGTATAATTCAAAGTACAGAGCTAAAGGATCTCTCCTTAAGTAGTATAACTGGAACTTTGACTATTAAACATGGCTTTTCTAAATGCATGGTCCAGTAATTTTATTCATTGTATTTAATAGCTTATTAATGTTTCTGCACCTCTGAGAATGAATATTAAGTAATTGTCCAACAGCTCTCATTTTAAAATGAAACCAGATAATGAAATAAATTTGATACTTTTATAAGAAAAAAAAAACACTGACATTACAATGATTTTTACCCCTAATATTCTAATCCTTGATTTAAAAACTTAAATGTTTCTCATTTCTTGAAAAAAGTCCCCGTTCCTGGGTAACATGTCAGTCTTTTCACAGTGTGGCTGGACCACCTTTCTGGTTTCATTTCTTTCTGCCTTAGATCTCCTGTCTTCCCTCCAGCTCCCTTTCTGTTCTCACCAAAGTAGGCATCTTTCCCCATCTGCAGCCTTTACTTTGAAGGGTTCGGTTCCCTCTTGGAGGAATGTACCTTCCCTGTGGTGGGTAACCTCGTGGGCTGCAAGGCTCAGTTCCAATGCTTTGCTTCACCAGGGGAGACAAGTGTCTTCCCTCTGTGTTCCCTTATCACTTTGTGTACCCTCTTCTTCATTTGCCTGGCTCTTCCTATGGGAAGCAAAGGGAATGGCCATCAAATGGACCCACTGAATCCTGTTTTGCAGATGTCTTCAAGAAAAGGTTTCTACAGAATATTTGAAAAGTTTCATGTCTGCTACTGACTTAACCAATGCAGGTTGTTAAAAAAAAGTAAATGCTCTTATAACTTAAAGCATAGAAAAGAAACTGAACTCGAGAATGTAGTTCAGTATCAAACTTTTTAATAATATAACAATAGAGGGACCTAAATTCAATATAATTTAGCTTACTTAAAAATTATAGCGAAGAGCAGGAGAAGAAGATTAACATTTAACAGGGATGAGAGGTGGGAGGGAAAGGGAGAGAGAAGGGAAATTGCATGGTAATGGAAGGAGACCCTCAGGGTTATACAGTGGAGGGGGTAGAGAGAGAGGAGGGGAGGGGAGGGGAGAGGTGGGGAGGGGAGGGGAGAGGTGGGGAGGGGGGACAGTGGAGGATGGGAAAGGCAGCGGAGCACAACAGACACTAGTATGGCAATATGTAAATCAATGGATGTGTAACTGATGTGATTCTGCAATCTGTGTATGGGGTGAAGGTGGGAGTTCATAACCCACTTGAATCAAAGTGTGGAATATGATATGTCAAGAAATTTGTAATGTTTTGAACAACCCACAATAAAAAATTAAAAAAAAATAAATAAAAGAAAAAAAAAATTATAGCAATTTAGCAAGATAAAAGATGGGATTATATATGTGAATGCACTTTGTAATCTATTCTCTATAGGGCATTCTGGTATTTTGACACAGCCTGATACATTGTTCAGATATTATTTTATTTAAACATGATGTTCATAGACACTGGATATTTCTGCAGCCTGTTGTTTTCCCAGTTAGTAACTCGGCTCAAATGTGGGTTATGATATATAAAATGTGAGACAGTTCACATTCTCTCTATTTTACTCATTTATTCTCTTTACACTTTGAAATATCAGTTTCACAAGAGCATTATTTGGGTTTGTTTAATCCTTGCTACATCCTCACTGGAATATTAACTGGCATACCGTGGGGATTCAATAAATACTAGATGAAAGAATGACTAAATGGTGATTTGAAACAGATGGAAACAATGAAAGATCTGATAAACCTAAAAAAAATCCCAATAGTGCAATAGTGTCCAAAAAAACAGAGCTCAATTTCCATGTTACAAAAAAAGAGGAGTTTCAAAAAGTTCTATGCTTGATAATGATTCAACTACACTAGGATGTTAAAAAAAATACCTTAATAGGTTAAAGTTTAGAAAAGAAACAGAACTAGAGAAGGTAGCCAAGTATTTGACCTTTTATATTTTACCACAGAGCAACCTAAATAGGATACAACTTAAACCTAGATTGAAATCAAGCCAGAGGGAAATCCATCTTGGTGCCCTCAGAGGCTCCACTCACTTGTGCATGGGAGGCCATGGGGGCCCATTTTTCCATTATGTACCGGAAAAGCATGAAGATTTTGTCAGACAGTCGGTTGGCATCCATTCTGGGATAGGGGAAGTCTTTCCAGTGGTTGACATACTTGTAAATGGCCTTGCTGAACTTCTCAAGGGCTGCATTTAAAAAAAAAATCCACATAGAATAGGCATAGTCAGTGCATTTTCAATTTGTATTTTCCATTTTAGTTTATTAGGACATAACCCCATCATAAGTCAAAGAACTTCTGTATTCCAAATGGGGATTTATAATACAAGTCCAGAATTCAAGACAACAGAAAAAAAAGGGAATCCACTTCAACTCAAGGGACCGTTTTGCAGCCAATTTAAGAAAGTATAAGTGCAAATTAAACAGAATAAAAATATAACCATAGAGAAAAATATAAGAAAGGGAAGAACTATTATGATTAACAAACATATTATAATTTATATACAATCTTACAACTGTACAAAATAAACATATAAAAAGTGGTCAGTCAAGTTAGTAAAATACAAATTGAAACGGTATGAGACATGACAACACACCATACAGAATTGATATTATTTAATATAGTCAATGCCAAAGATTGATTGGTCTGAGGTGTAGCTGGTATTCTTACTTATTACTGGTGAGAGTTGAATTGGTATAAACACTTTGGAAAACTCTTTGGCACTGTATATCAAAGGTGAATATGCATTCTAGATGACCCATCAATTCTAATCTGCAGATGAAGTAATTTTATATGTATATAAAATAAAAAATACATATACCAAATATATATATACCAATAAATATACAGGGCACTATAAGAGTGTATGGTCGAAATTTCTGCCAAGAGCTGGTGAGCGCTCATGATCATTGTCGAGGAAATGTGATTGAAGAAGGATGCTAGGAGAAGAGGAGGCTGTACAGAACAGTATACAAATGAGTCTGGGTGGTCATGAAGACTCAGGTTGAATGCCACCTGTACATGTCACTGAGTATGTCACTGCCTTAGGAAAACTGATTAATTTTCATGATCTTAAAGTTCTCATCTGCACAATGGGATGATGGGACCATTGATGATGTTGCAGAATTGTCGTGAGGACTGAGTGAGAGAACCGGCTGCAGAGGGCCTTCCACAGTGGGAGGCACTCAATAAATGGCACCCATTAGTATTAGAAAAGGCAATAGAGTAGAAGGGAAAATAAGACTTGTGTTCAATTGGTAAAGACTGGTTGTAGTTCATCTTAAGCCAAAAGGAAATCACAGGTATACCCACCGATACAGAAAGTTTGCTTCATACTTTCATCCTCTGCCAGCCTGAGCATAGTCTGCATGGTGAGCAAGGTCATCATCATGAAGGGAATACTTTGGGACACTGCAGTGAAGGAGGTGAGAGAAGAAAGGTATGACTCATTTTCTCACATGGGGGCTCAGTGACTTCCTGCATCAGCAACAAGCATGTCAAAGCTGCAAGGAGGAGGCAGGTGAGGTTCAGGAGGGAGATATTCTCCTCCATCCCCTCCTTCCCCATGTGAATGCCAGGCTGTAGTTAGTACCCCAAAAGAAGGTACTGCATATACAACTACATGTCCCTGTTGTCCAGTGGCTATTGTTTATTTGGATAATTGTTTTATTAATATCAATGTCTCCCGCCCAACCTTCCCTGTATTCCCAAGGCCCAGCAAATTTAATGGGTGCTCAATAATATCTGTTAAACTAAGTAGTGTAGAAACTAATGGTAGGAATCTTTACAAGTGTTCATCAGTTTGCATAATATGCCTTTTGGCAAATATACTTCTGCAAAAGCAAAGCCAAGTAAAGGGAAAGTTGAGGATGGGAGTCAGGTCAAATTCACTGCATTCTGGACTAATGGCTGGTGGGCAGGCTCACAAACATTCATAAATAGCCACACCATGTCCCTGTCAATTCTCTATAGTAGGCAGAGATGCTCTCCTTTCTGCCATTTTCTGAAACCACTGGGTTTTAGACAATTGTTCAGAGGTGGTTGTTTCCTAGTTAAAGTGTATCAAATATTCTCTTTATACCATATCTGGTTGCCAGTTCAGCCAGGGAGAGCACAACAAATTCGTCTGGGAGCTCTAGAATCCTGAAGTTACTCTGGACTTCATACATCACAGAGTTGAAATCATGTGCAGCTAGAGACACCAAAACCTCACCAGCTAGCATTCTGATTTCTCTGGGATTCTGAGAAGGAAAAGAAAAATAATAACAGCTAGAGGAAGATCAAAGTCTTCAGAGAAAAATAGCTTACATAATATTGTGATTTTCCCTAGATATGGCATACAGGGAGAACAGGCTATTAATTACAAATCTATTGTAAAAGACTCTCAGATGTTACTTGCTGGGAAAGAAGATGTCACTT